AGACAACCGTAACTTGCCCATAGGGTAATTCGATATGCTGATCACGAAAACGACATTCATTTTTAGCGGTGGCGTCATCTGGCGCCAGTTGGCGTCACCTTGTCACGACCCTTTTCACTAAAATCGGTGTAAACTTCTGTATAGGGGCTATTCGGTGCTTTAAATCAACAGTTCTAGGACGAATTTACGAGGTAAAAACCGCTGATAATGTAGCTATAGCCTTTTACTGCCCCCATCCTTAAAAACCAAGCCGGATGTTAGTCGAAATAATCCCATAACTGTGGACATGGCTAGAAAGTTGACTTCGAAAGTGTTTTAACATGAATATCCCATCAGTTCAGAGCAAAAGCAAATGGAGCCTGCTCCATAAGCGCCGCGGCTCATGGCTCGGGTCTAACTATTCCTGGCGACAAGTTTCAGAGAAGTAGTGATCAGGTGGTTACGGCGCCTTTCGGTGCCGACATTTGTGGCACTGGCGCCAGCCATTTTCGCGTAAACGAATGCAGTAATAGTGTTCTGCGGGCCAAATTTCCTGGCGGGGTCAGTAGGCTTTTATCACGATGTACGGCAATGTCCTAATTCCGATACAAATCCGGCTCGTTTTGCGTGGGAGTAGTGGGACAGTGAAGGGTTAGTTCTTCTTCTTTAGCGTTTGTCCCGCTTGGTGGCAGGGGTCCGCTTTTCTGGTATGTTGACGCCACTTTTCCCGATTGAATGCCTGATCGGGATGGATACCAGCTAACTTTAAGTCCATATGCAACGTATCAAGCCAGCGCTGCTTTGGGCGTCCCTTAGGCCGTTTTCCGGGCACGTCTGTGTTAAGGCTCATGAAGGGTTAGTCTCTCACTGTACTGAAATTGGAATTCAGGCAGGAGTTGAACTGTTACGTTTTACAGTTCCTCATACAGAACACAATCATCTGAATTCGGTCCGTTAAAATTCGCTATCCTTTCATAGAGCGAGCACCTGTCGCGCAGTAGTTCATATAGTTTTGTATTTACTACAATCGATCAAATATTTCCTCGTGTTTAGATATGTACGGAGGCGAGGAACCTTCGCTTTGATTTGAAGAAAATGCTCGAATTCGAAAAATCAGCAAGCGCTCTTCATTTGGACGGTTATGACGTTGCCATTCAGAGAAAGACCGTGAGTTGAAACCAAACTGTTTATAATAAGGCATCGAAGAAATTTGTCTTTAGGGTCTTGTTCTGGTTGAGAATTGTACGGCATGGCTGTATCTGCATCGGCGAGAGGGCTCCTATGGAACGTGTAAATCAGCTGTTTTGCGTCTGCTTCAGAGGCTTCGCTCTATAGAGAATGAGATTAGCGAGACAGAGCCAAGGTATCCTGCACCTAAAACTCTTTTGCCCTATATTGTTCGTCCCCCTTTACATGCTTACCGTTTACTTTCAGCCGTATCTTCTTCCAAAATGTCGAACTCCTGGGCAAGGATATAAAACATCTGCTGAAGCTGTTCCAAGAAACCATCTACCATGTTGAGGAATGAGGCCTCACAGTTTCCTGTTCTTCAGTGGTTTCTGCGCTGGGCTATTAGGAGTCCTTGAAATTAGCTCTTCAGCTCTGCCCTACTTCACTAAGTTTAGATGTATGATTTTATTTGTAAATCAGGTGATCCATAGGCTGTATATTGCAAAAGTATTGCGTTACTGCGATTGAGTTCCCTACGAGAAAAGAAATAGTCCTTCTCGTTCTTCCCTCATTTCTTTCTTTTTCATAGTCATAATTTTAGTCGGCGGTTTGCAGAAAACCAAATAATTGCCAGTGATGGTCTGCCCAATGTACTTCCATTGTAAATTTCTCTACAAAAAATGGTAATGAAGTTTTAAACAAAAAAGCAACAACCTTTTTTAATTTGATTTCTTAAAGGTACGGGTTGCTGTCGATTTATCGTATTATTATTTCCTTCGAAAAGGAACAAGAGATGGGAAGAGAACCTGCAGTGAGACAAAAATGCAAAAAGAACCATCGGAAAGCTGAGAAGAGGCGCCTTTTTAACTACGAAGGAGAGACACAACAGTGCTGCTAAGGGACGGAAAAAGCAAACGAAAATACCTCGTAAAAGAAGAACGAGCACCAGGCATCACATGCCATTTTCAGAAACGCGTTCTAACTAATATAATTGAATGACGACACATTGTCATCGCAAAACCTCTGCGAATCAAAGACGCATGGGGGGGGGAGAGGTGCACATAGTGGCTTTGAAGTTTGCAAGTCTGATCGCATCACAGTTACGCCAATAAGGCTCGCGGAGAAGTTTGCGCGGCACGAAAAAGGAGGACGTGCGCAGAGTCCGCTACACCCCACCCCTTTCCGTGAACCAAATACAACTCTCTCCTCTTTGCTCTTACCATAGCACAACGGACGTCAAACCTTGTGGAAAGGTCACTGCTTCTTCATACGTGCAGAATTTCGTTGTCTACCATCTTAAAAAACTGCTGCGCTTCGCTCTTGGGTGAGGCTCCACGACCAACCGCACCAGTTGGCCATGGTGCCCCATATAAAAGGAGTTATTGGACAAAGTAGGCACTTCGGCACAAGTGTATGCCAACCTCACTTGTGAAACCGTGCGACTGTTGGATACCGGCGTTAAAGGCCAAATGATCAAGGTTTGGTTTGCGAATCGAGCGGTTCGCTAGCGAATTGCTGGATCTGAGCGTTTCACCAAGCGTTTCGTCAAACTTTGCACCAGAGAGTCGAACTACAATGTACCAGCGAGTGTGTGGGGGGGGGGGGGGAGAAAAACTCACCGGCGGCGCGGACGTGAGCGCGTATTGGTGACGTTAAAATGACGTCACAGCTACGGCTGGCTCGAAGGAAGGTGAAGCGGTGAGCAGCGCCGCTTTGATAGAGAATGATTGTGTTGAGTATTATCTTCGCATAGGATCTGGAATTTTGGGAAATATAGAGAAAATCGAGGCTTTCATGAGCAAACCCTTAGGAGTACGCAGTCAAGTTGAAATTGTTCGTTCTCCGAGTTTGATTCCTCCTTCTGATACTTATTATACGCTGAACTAACAGCACGACTGATGCTTGTAGTACCTAGTGTATCAAAGTAATGGTGGTAGAGCTGGCTCTTGCTCACTCCCGCTGTCATCAAGAAGCGGACGGGACCGCGCCGCCGATGAGTCCAGTTTTAACGACTTGACGAAGATCCTCCATCGAAACAAAAGATCTTCAACACAGTAATGATAACGTGATGCGCATACGACTCACACTTCCACGTGAATTTATCATTTGCCATTTTTCTCGATTTAAAATTGTTTCTATGCATTATCGGATCCGCAAAACAGTGCAACAAATAGCGACGGAATTATTGAAAGCATAATTACGATTTTGCAAAAATATGAAAACGTCGAGATACAACAGACTGGTGTCATAAGATCCTTCATTCAAAAACCTCGGTGGTACAGGAAATGTATATTATAGATACAGCTATTAACAGGAAAAAGACCTGGATCCAACCTCATTCGAATTCTGGGTCGGAAAAATTAGTTTGCCTCTGACTGCTCCAAAATCGTCCCTGGCCCAAGCAAGGTCTACGCGTTCCTTGAAAGCTATCGAAAAAAGATGTGGGATATACAAATTCTCAGAGTTTCTTAATTCAAAATCCAGCACTTTTTGTGCAGGTCGTCCCTGTATTATGGCGCATTTCACGAAAATATTGAAAAAGGCTAGTCGAAAAAAGAAAGGTTCTCGTGTGCTTCATGCGACGGACACGAAAAAATAACAATGTGGTAAAACGAACACCGATGGAGAAGTAGTATGAAAATAGAAATTGGAGGCCACTGATATCGCATTCCTTTTAGGGTAAAAATAACAAAATAGAAATCAACGATTTTTTTTCTTGACTATATTGGTTTAGCTGCTCTACATACAGTAGCGGTCAAATGTCCGTGCTTCTCTTTTTTTGACCAGAACAAATCAGTGATGACCTAGAAATTTTTTTTGAACAAACCTGATTCTTTCAAGGCTTATAGATATAAAAACCAGAGAGAGCATAGTATACCAATCTTCAGGAGGGCGTTGCTCAAGCGAGAAAAAATAATCCACTGAAATTTGTTCCGGTGAACACTTTTGACCGCTATTGTAGTACTCGAATAACGCAGATACATCACGTGCTTATAAGAAGTCTTCAAGAATAGAAGCTCAATGAAACAATTCAATGGTAACACTTGGTATCTCTTAATAGCTGTATTTCCCTTCTCCTGCAATGTTCTTGCTATTTGTTGTTTCTTCAATGGGAAATGCCTCATTTTCGTGCGTGGGAGCGTTTGAGCAGAGCTCCCGCTCTGCAGGCGAGGTTGAGCATTTTGCTGAGACACCTGCAAAAGAAAGCAGCGAAATAGAGGATCAAGCGTAACAGAGCAAGGGTGCAAAACTGTTTACTAGAGGAAGCGAGCAAACAGAGTGCGTTTCATATTTATAAGGTCACCCTAAAATATTCCATTTCCGGAGCCAGCAGCTAACTGATAATTTTTCCTCTATCACCAAACTGATCCCCCACTACGAATCACCTCTGCAACGCAATTTTGGCGGAAGCTGCTTCTCTGTCGATTTTTCTTTATGATTCTTTCGCCGTTTTGTACGCGTTTCATATATAGTACCCCGCCCGCCACGCCTGAGGAACGGCACGACTTACCCCCCCTGAGGCGAACAGATCACAACGTACATTCTATGGTTACTCCATCATCAGGGCAACATCGAATAGCCTCCGTGGCCCACTGGAATTGAGATCCCAAGGCAGATGACCATCAGTTTACTTCTTTGTTCGAGGGTCGCTTGTATACGCCCTTGCGTAGTTCTTGACTGGAGTTCCTGACGTGATTCCTCCTGACGAAGATGCCCCTGAGATATTCTACAAAAATACGACCAGAAATTTTCGTTTCGTTTTCGCTTTCCCTGACAGTGTTGCTGCATCTTTCCACTTTTCTCCAATTTATAATTTTCAAGATAGAGACGTTAATTTCGCAGCGGAGCTGCATTTTGCAAGGAGAATTACTGTTTCTGACAGCCCTCATATCTCTTCTCTAATCATTTATAGGAACCTTTTTGCGGACGCTTGAAACTTGTAGAGTATCTGGAGGCGAAGGAGCTTTTCAATTATCCATCGAGTAAAGGCAACGCCGGAAATTTACCGAAGTGCTCTCGGAAAGACTCCCGAACCGTGCCGAGCACCATGAAATGCATAAACTTTACCTTTTCTTCAAAAGACGAATACGAAACATTCCATAAATTTAGCTAATGGGTGTGTTTGTAACAAACATTCAATTTCACAGGCAGGTTGGTTGTTTCTGATAATGTAGTATTCATTTTCACAGGGTGACCTTATATTATGAAACGGTGCAAAAACCGAAAAATAATTATAAAAAAGTTAAAAGAAAAGCTGCTCCCGCCAAAATTGCGATCCAGGGGTTTTCATAGTGAAGGGTTATACTGGAAAAATTACCAGTCAGCGGCTTGTTTCGTAAATGCAAAATTTAATGCGACTTTATAATTATGAAACGCACTGTAGTGCTCAGAAACTTCGTTTTTTCGAGTCGTTATTTTTTCAACTAAAAGTAGTATCTATCAGCATAAATGAATCATCACTAGGGAGTTATTGCCAACAATCCGCCGAAGAGTAGATTCCATGTTTCTGAAAGGTCGGCGGTTTAAAACTGAAGAAGGCAGTTAAGTCAAATCCAATTATCTCATTTGAATAGCATTTTTTGTCCGCAAAGAAAACGATGACTGAAACCAACGACTCTGGTTAATAATAATAATAGATAGTAATCGGGAAGAGGCTAGTGAGTCCTGAACGGTAGATTTGCGAAGACGGCTTAGGTGAGCTTCAGGATCTCGAGTTGCGCCCAAATTTGAAACGTGTTTTTCGGTTGTCTTGAAACAGACACACTTTTCTTAGTACGCAGCTCTTGAGAGCCTCAATGCTCGAAGGTGTGGAAAGTCTCCCAAGGTTCACTCGCTAATACACCATTAGACGGATAGCATAACCCCTTGCTGAACTTGTAAACCTCAGACTTTTCCGGTCGACCCAGCCAGTGGCCAATCTTCCTACGGTCGTGGGCAAAACTCCAGATACGCTTACTCCACGTCCGTGAAAGCGAAGCCGCCAAGTGGCGGGTCTGTGAATAGTGAAACGAAGCCAACTTGCCGAAAACGCAACAAGCTGTTCCTCGTTTTCTATCGTTGATTTGAAATTTATACGTAACTACAGCTGTTGACGAATCGATGGCCATTGCATCAAATTGTCTTTTGTGATCATACTATTATTTGTTGCTTCTATATAGTTAAATATTTACAACAGTATGACACGAGAGGAGATGTGCATACACGCAAAAGGGCGAAACGGATGAAGTTAGCTTAAGATTGTCAAGATGAGGCTGCTTGATATGAAAGGGGCCCGCGTATGACAGGTATGAGTTTCGCTGAAGATCTTCCTTCTCTCACTGACATGACTTTGCTGACAGGGGCGCGTTCATTGGTGTT